CAGCGGCTATCCACATCCTTGAGATCATTTTTTACCAGCCTGGGCAAGTGCCATCTTGTGTCTATAGATAGTCCACTACGTAACAAGCACTGTGGATAACCTATGCAGTCTTTCATTGACATGGACTTCTGCTTTCAGATTTGATCAGAAGATTCAAAGCTCACCATTGGTCATCTGGATTTGTCAAACATTGTACATTTATCCTAAAATGTATTGAGCTGCATCACCATGGTGAAAGACAAATATAGTTACTACAATACTACACAGCTACTCACACTCCGAGAGAAAGTCCAATCTTTTAGCATTCTGCTCCACACTTGTGTGCCACTGGTTGAGCATTATAGAGCGGACGCCTGCCACACTTAGCAGGAGAGCAGTCTCCACCGGTCTTTCCAGTAAGAACTGACTTTTACTAACACAAACAGCCAAAACAAATTAATTAGCAAGGATTAAAAACCTGGGGCTTTAAATAGAAAAAAACATGCAATGCTTTCACAACTGAAAAAGCATGTGAAAAGAATGGTCTGAACATTTCACATCACAAGAATGGTACAACTGAACATCACCTTTTATACTCAAGGCCATCATATACATACTTATAGCATGCTTTTTAAATGGATGGATGGATGTACTATACTATAGCCTTTTTAGATCTATATACAGTATATATTAATCTGGTAAATGTAAATAAACATTTTAAATATTAAACAAATATAAACTATATTTTTCAATGCTAAAGAGTAAAACACAAAAAACAATAATTCAATCCCAACTTTGCACACTATCCTTCTGATAGCTTCATAGTGTTTAGTAAGAGTTTACCTTTGACTTATAGTAATTTAATTTTGCTTTGCATTGATCTAAATGACAGGAATCACCACCCATGTTGAAGTTTGGTCAAATTTGTTAGTTTGCCACGATGGTAAGTTATCTAGCTGGCTGAAGAAGTTGACTGTGTGTATAGTACATGGGGGTGCATTCTTCCAAAGGCAAGAACTTACAACTCTTCTAATGGACCCCCAAGCAGTCATTACCCATTAAAGCCTCTGATTTTGAGAACCACAAAGAAGCAAGCATACAGAGAAAGGCTTGGCATCATTAAAGCATGGGAGAGGATTACAAACTGACCCAGTTTTTCTTTACAAGGTTATAAAGGTGTCTATACAGTAATTCTGCAATACAGAAGACATGTTGATACTTCATGTTGATACTATGCCAAGCTATTTACTTATTGAAATACACAAAATTTAGCCTGCATTTTTACCTCTTTTGTACGTCGATTGTTGATTGCCTTGAAAAGCTCTTACTTGTCCGCACCTGATCTATCAAAATCATCAACTGACAGTCTGAAATAGACATTCCATGAATGACATTTTTTTATTTATGCCAGAATGGAAATTGCATTAAGAATTTTCATTAATCTTCTGCTCATAAGAGCCAATGTATCAGAAAACATATTGAAATACAACCTATTGAGAGTTTTTACAATTCTTTTTACAATTCCCTGCAAACCATTCAGAAATATTAGCACTCTTTGTGAGCCATTATATCTGGCCTGGTGAAGAATGCATCAGTGTTATCCTCAGGTAGAACTCCTGAATAAAACAAATGCAGATTATATTGTTTGACTATCAGGTAAATATGTGGGCAGGTGAAATAGTCCATTGCTGTCATAGCATTGGATTTATTGCTTTCGGGTCACTGGCCCAGAACTAGTATGCAGCAGGTGCAGTTAGAACGTCTAATATGTATACCTTCATAGAGTCAGGGACCCCTTCAAATCACAAAGGTATAACATATTGCAGCTTATCCATTTTTAGATGTGGCAGCTGTGCTAGTTTTCTTTTTGAAGGCTTTTCCCCTTCATTTGTACCTGGTGATTCTGTCCTAGGATGACAATACTCACTGTACTGTATCTATGAAGGAGCAGCTTGCTTCTGTTTTAGACTACAGAACACTTTCTCCTCCTCTTCATAAAATAACAAAGAGGTGGCATGTCCTTCACAGAAATGAACTGGGCAGGGCTGATTAGACTCCCTGGGATTTTAGTGCAGCAGAGGCAGAAAGCAAAGGAAGTTAAGAGATCACTGGCAGGATCAATGGGAATTTTCTGTATTTGTAGCATTTTTAAAGAGACAAAACATGGCAACATGTTCATGTATTGTAGATATGTATTGACTGTGTATTTTTTAATTTTGCCCTAACATACACTTTAAAGTGACATTAAAGGAAAAAAAATGTTTCCCTCCCCCCAATGTTAATGTCAGCACGTACCTTAACCCCTTCATGACTGAGGCCCTTTTTTCAATTTTTGCACCCATGTTATATTCCACATTTTAGGCCTGAAAATGACGTAAAACCCCCCAACATTATATATTTTCTGAATGCCAAGACCCTATAGAATAAAATGGTGGTAGTTGAAAATTTTTATGTTGCGCAATATTAGCGCAACTCCTTATTAAACCCCAAAATTTAGTGACAAATTTAATTAAATGCCCCAAAACACAACAAATTACCCATTTTTTTAATGAAATATAAAAGATGAGGTTACAACGAGTAAAACGATACCCAACATGCCCAGTTTACAGATTGCGTGCGACCATGAAACGGCGAAAAACTGCAGTACCCCAAAAGTACACTGTACGTCGTCAGTCACAAAGGGGTTAAATTATGTATCTTAATCCGATCTTCTTCTTTTCTGATGTTTTCATCTGTCCCTCCGGTAGTGCGCCGGCTTTCTGATCCAGCGCTGACTCCTCTGTCCTTGCTGGCACTTCCGATCCCACGGTGTCTGCATGCGGGCGCACGTGTCCATAGACTTACCTTGCGTCTCTGCTCGTCTCCCGGCCGAAAATCCGAACTGCGCATGCGCCCGCCCCAAGATGCTTTGCGGCCGCCCGAGCAGTTTCGGATTCTCGGACGGGAGTGCGCAGCGAAGACAAGGTACGTTTGAACTGCTGTTAAAGCAGGTTTTTATTTTTTTTTGCCTACATCTACTGCTTGCTAGCAGTAGATATACGCAAAAAAAAAACGGAGGGTTTAGAAACCCTTTAACTTATAGCTCAAGGCATTAGCCCATTACTCTAAATCTGCCTTACACTGATCTACAATTGGTGTGTTCAACTCATGGGTCATGTGAAAGAAATTGGTGGAAGAGTATTTCCCACCACCACCACACATCTGCTTAGTAGATATACAAGTAAAGACAAAAGAAAGGACTGCTTACTACAAGATTCAGTGCAGTAATAAAGTGCACGTCCTGCACATCATTATTACATTTCTACCGTCACCATGCTTCACAGTTTAGATGAGATTTGCAGGGCATGAGTTTGGAGAAGGCATGAGAAGTGAACAATCTAGGACAACATAGCTGATTTGGAAAGTGAGCGGAATTGGATAATTTTTCCAAATCAGCTATGTTGTCCTAGATTTTTCACTTCTCATGCCTTCTCCAAACTCTTCACCTTTTTGTGAATAGCCCTGTTGGTATTTTAGCAATGTTTTGTTTCCTCCATGCATAATTATGTTAACTTTTACAAAACAGTTTAACTTTTTATAACCGTAGCTAGGGTTGCACAGATACCAAGTACAGTACTCGGTACATGTACTCGGTACGAGTACATGTATCGATACTTTTGAGCTCCAAAACTACACTAGAGAAAAATTCAAAAATTAGGAGGCAGCTGTCATGTGTAAGGAGCACACAGAGCTCCTGGGATTTGTACATCTCTGTTTTAATGTACAATTTTGTTTTTATAAATATAAATAAAGGGATGCACAGATACCAGTTTTGCGAGTATGAGTACTGGTATTTGCCGAGTACTTACAAGTACGAGTACTGATACATTTTTGTTTATTGACATGTGACAGTGTTTCTAAAACAATACAGACTAATGATTTCAGGACAGTGGGGGAGCACCAGAGCCCGGTCCCAGCTGCGACCGCTGCAACCCTGGTACTTCTCATGAAAATGCCAAGTATCTGTACTGGTACTCAAAAAGTATCTGTGCATCCCTAACCGTAGCAATATATAGAATATTGCTACAGTAGTCAGTAGTGCAGTGGAGCACTGATGCAGTATGTTTTCTCTTGGAACAGTGATGGCCTCCCAAGAACATCACTTTGTTCATTTATGGCAGGGCTCATGAACACAAATGTCTGCACATCCTCAGTTTTGTCACCTTTTGAGGAATCTACATTGTGTCTTTGCATTGACCTTAGAAGGACTCCCATTTCTAGAGAGATCAGCTCCAGTGATGAATTCCTTCCATTTGTAATGAATCTAACTGTTGACTAATGACAATGTTTTCTAACCCTCTGCAGTCTATGGAATGGCTTCAGTAAGTCTTGTTATTGTAAAGGAAAACTATAATGGAAGGCTACCATTGCTGTCCTACTTTTAGAAAGCTCCATGCCGTTTGTAAATTCTAACTTCATTCTGACTTTTTAGCTTCTTTGTAGATCAGCGTAAGGCAGATTTAAGTCAGGTATTAATGGAGGTTTTTTTTGAGTAATTTAATTGATGTCAAATGAATGACAGACGGGCAAAGGGCATCACAGCTGGATGAATATATTTTCAGAAAATGAGCTCAGCAATGCCAACCATCATGTTTTCTCAATAAGAGTGCCCTTTAATGTTCCCTGGTTCACTAAAATCTCTTTTGATCAGGTTCATTGCTATGATCAGGTTCATTTGTGATTCAACACAATTCTTTTCTGATGTGCAGCTATCAAAACTATGGTAATCATTTTTTATAACTATGAACAGGGCAGGTCAAGCCCATACCCAAATTGAATTGTACACCTGACTTTAGTTAGCCTGTGTCACTAACTTAAAGGGTTATTCACTACAGTGCCGAAGGATCCAGCCATAGCTTCGGCTGATCCTTTGGCTCACTTCGGCTGCCTGAGCAGTCGAACCGAAGGGCTGCTGTACGGGCTATTCAGAATAGCCCATACAGCAGCCGAAGGCAGCTGAGCGGCTCAGCCGAGCCAAACCCATATGCTTCGGCTCGGCTGAGCCGTAGTGACAGGCGAAGTGCAGAGAAAGGTCGGCCGAAGTCGACTGATCTTCACAAAAATGCCAGCTCTTATATGAATAGAATAGTCTTTGTTATGAATTTCCTGGATTTCTGTGTATATGGCTCCTCAAATGCAATCTGGTCTTCATTTTAAGGGTCTATAACCTTTCTCTCACAACTATGTACAGAACTGAAATTTATGCAAAACTTCGAAACTGCTTGCAAAAAATGTCTGCAGTATACTCAGGGAAAAAAACAGACCAAGCAGCAGAGTTGTTAGCTCATTCTTCTAATTACTGACACATATGGATTACTCAAGTTCTGAGGCTGATTAAAGTAAGGTAATTGACTAACTGAACCTAATTACCTATATTACTTAGATATGCCAGTAATTAAAGGGAATGGTTGCCAATGACAGTCCTTCTTAGGAAAAGTGTGCACTTTGCAATTGTTTATCGGTTTCATAAACGTGTTACCACTGCTGCAATATGTCCAGTAAAAGTTAATGGATCTCATCTTGCTGTATGTGAAGGTCAGCTGTGTAGATTGGGATGATTTATCATTGAAGTCACAGCACAGTTGTTTAATACAAAAGCTATCACACAGATGTGCTTCTAAAGACTGGAATATGACAAATAGGAAATCTTAGAATTCCAGGCCCAACCCAGCACACCTTCAGAACCAACATTACAGATTTGGCAATTACTGGGCCAAGGCTCTCTTTGTGGTTTACGTATAAAAAGTTTGCCAAAAGGAAAATGCCTATTGCCTATTAAGTATTTTGCCTATTCTAGTTAGAACACATTTAATAAATTTGCCCCTTCACGTTTCGAAGTATCCTCCAGTCTGCTTTTAACGGATTCATGGCCGAGGGTCTTTAGGCCATTTTGTTACCTGTGGTGCTTTAAAGGGAAATGCAGACCTATCTTCTTTATCACAGGGAAAGAAAAGGTCCAGTAAATAAGTACAGTCACTGGTAAAAGCACATATGAGAACATAGAAGTGCTCTCCTTAAGATCCTACCAGCAACCATTTCAAAGTAGGATGTAAGTGTAAATTGTGCTGCACCAAGGCACACTACAGTACAGAATGTACATGTTTGTCCTAAGGGCAGAAGAGTATAGTTTGAAGTTTAACTTTGGATTTACGTATTACATACCATAATATCTGAGATCCGCTGAAGAGTGCAAAATGAAATACAGTATTGCCCTGAAGTGCATTTATAATATGATATGGTACAAAGAGTCAGTGGGAAAGATACATATTTCTAATTTTAGATGTAACTTAGTGTTAGTGTTTTTCAGCAGACTAATGATTAGTTACTTCTCATAACAACAATGACCTGCCCTCTTTGTAAGAATATGGTACAATGGTAGCACAAGAGAGGTTAGGTTGTGGAGGAGTCAGCTGTCACTGGGATGATGAATGACATCTGTGTATAGCAAAATGTATTCTCCTTAAAGTTAATATCCTAGGACTGCTATGGTATGCTAGAAACAGCATGGAGGTACCTAGGAATAGAGAACACTTTCAACTTGGCGCATTTAAAAAAACGGAAAGCTTCATTATTGGAAGATTTCATTACATTGACAACTTTACCAACCCAAACTCCAGACAGCATTAAACCTTTTACTAAAAAGATAGTAGGTACATGTACCCCACAGGATATTTCCGGAAGGTTTAGAGGGGAACTTGTTAACATCAGCTTATCATGTATGTCTAGGCATTACCCAAATTTAACCCCAAATTACTTGGAGCATAACTAAGAACGGAACCAATATTATGAAAATATATGTGTTAAATAGCTTATTGTTTATTTATTTACGGACATGTATAGATTTCTGGACAATGTATACCAGGGGTGCCCACAATTTTGGTGTTAAGATCTACTTTTCAAATGACGAGCTACATGGGATCTACCAACGAAAAAAAACCTCCCTCGCTCTTTCTCTCCTGGCTGTCTCTCCTTGCTCTCCTAGCTGTCTTTCCTCGCTCTCTCTCTCCTGGATTTTATTCCTCGTTTTCTCACCTGGCTGTCTCTCTTCGCTCTCTCCACTGGTTGTCTCTCCTCTCTCTTGTGTCTGTCTGTCTCTCCCCGCTCTCTCTCCTGGCTCACGTTGCTGTATTTTGCAACAGGCTGTGTAAACTAATATTCTTTGATGTAATACATAGCACTTCAACCACCAGTATCCACCAGAAAGGTGTCAGGGAGATTGGCTCAGCAGACTCAGGCTAATAGGTAATCATGTGTGCACAGCTAAATAAATATAGCAAAATGGAATAAAGGTCTACCAGCATCAGCTTTGAGAGCTACTGGTAGATCACGATCTACCTAATGGGCACCCCTGATGTATACAGTAGTTGAAAAAGATATTTTAAACTCACCTGTAAAATCCATGGCAAGAATTTTATCCAGCATTACATGAGTCAGAAGTTTCTCTGCGCCATAGAAAATGAATGCACTGCAATTGGTCATGAGATTTTCCCACTCTGCATGGCTGGAAGAAAGAATCCACTTTTCAGTTTTATTTCAGAGGTACAACATTTTTAAAGAGCTGTTAAGTTCAAAATACAAATTAACACTACATACAACGTACACTCATAAAAATTACCACAACTGTCCATAATTTAGGACATTGTGTTTACATTTACAGGGAAGATAAGAGCAACTTGTTTACCAAAATGGGCAAAAGTATGGGGAATGTGGCAAATGATTGAGTTGAGGTGTTTCCAGTGAAGGGCACGGGTAATGCTACAATATACATATACATTTTAGAATTGTGCACTTCTAACCTTGTGGCAACAGTTTGGGGAAGGACCTTTTCCAGCATTTCAGTGCCCCACAAAGCCACCTTCACAAAGACACGGTTTGACTAGCTTGGTGTGGAGGAATTCCAGTAGCAAGCACAATGCCTGACCTAAACACTGAACCTGAGCTGAACACTATTTGCAAGCCAGGTGCTACCGTCCAACATCAGCACCGGACCTCGCAAATGCTCTTTTGGCTGACTGGCCACAAATTCCAAAATCTTGTAGAAGGTATTTCTAGAAGTGTGGAGTTTGTTATAGCTGCAAGAATGGGCTATTTAACAAGTTCTTCTAGGTCTAATGGTCGGGTGTCCACAAACGTATGACCATATAGTGTATGGACACAAATATAAGATATCTGCTGTGTATACCTTTAACAATGCAACACAGCATTTAAGCAGATGTTAATGTCACGGTTGTGTTCTAAATCTAACTGATCATTACTCATATTTTACGTTGATAATTAATGGTGTAACTGGTGCTTGCATTTGTTTTTTTGGACAGAAAGGTAGCTGGAGAAGTGACAGATCCTGGAGTTAACTGGCACCTGTGGTTGGAGCAGATACAGCATAGGATCTGTGTGCAGTATCTTGGATTTGTGAGTTTGTACTGAAATGTGAACATAAATATTTATTTATTGTACTAATATCTATAGCACTGAAATGTTACACCATAAAAGTGCATTCACCTTAATTATGTATCAAATGAAAATTACATCCTAAAAAAGATGGTCCTTTAAAACAGAACCACAAAACAATTTAGCAAAGAGAAACTTATCAGGTTATGCATGGCTTTACTGTTAATGTTCAAAAGCACCTTTTGACTTGTACACTTCTAAAAGCCCAGGCATATTGTGGATACAACTAGCCACTGCAGAAATTGCAATTTGAGCCAACAGTGGATGTGTTAGCATCACTAGTCACTACATTCTTTGCTGAGTGGAGTTGGGCCATACACGCTTTGCGGGCTGAACAAAAGAAAGTTACTTGACACCATGGATGGTGGAATCTCCCATGCCAGTTACTGGACTCCCAGTAACTGGCTGAATACCCATGCAGTAGTTGTTAAGTGGATAATTTTCTATCCAGCTCAGTCAAATTTTAAATTGACTTTTGGTACTAACAGGGCCACGTACAGCTCACATTTTGGCCAACTCAATAGAAATTCAAGCCATGCATGCCCAGCTTTAGTATTTCTCTTTTTGTAGACATGCTGAGCTCATAAAAACAAATTGACAGTTGTACAAAATCTAAAATACATATAAGCGGAAACATCATTCAGTCAACGTCATCCTGTGCAACTCAAATCCATTGAGAGTTTTGGATTTCCCAGGTTTTCCCTGTGTGTGGCTCCATTAAGCGGCTCCATGTGCTCCAAAAATATCAGATGACTGGCAGGGGTCTCCACTCACATGTGGACATGTACTCCACTGTGCTCGTGAAGGTGGAAACCCCATTTACCTATATTCTAAGAAAACATCAAATCAAATTTTAACATTACAATGGAACGCCAACCAAAACATTTTTTTCTACAAAGAGGGGAGAAAGGCTGGAACCTCTGCCACTTGTTTTCTCATTGAGGAGACTTAGTTACATAGTTACATAGTATTTGAGGCTGAATAAAGACATTAGTCCATCAAGTCCAACCTATTAGGATCTCATTCTAGGAGTACCCGTACCCCTGTATATTACGGTCCCTTAAGAAATCGTCCAAAAGTTTCTTGAACAATTCCACATTATTTGCTGAAATCACCGCCTGTGGCAGTGAGTTCCAGACCCTAACTGATCTTACTGTGAAGAACCCCCTTCGCCCCTTGTGCTGGAATTTTTTTTCCACCAATTTTAGGTGATGGCCTCTAGTTTTTGTAACGGAGTTAATTTTAAACAGTTTATCGCTAATGTTGCTACCACCATTAAACATTTTGTACATGGAAATCATATCCCCCCTTAATCTCCTCACCTCTAATGTGAACATGTTTAAATTTAGTAGCCTCGTCTCGTAGCTCTGGTCCTCCATACCCCTAATTAGTTTGGTTGCCCTTCGCTGGACTTTTTCCAACTCAAGGACATCTTTTCTTAGTACTGGTGACCAGAACTGGACCGCGTACTCCAGATGAGGTCGAACCAATGATCTATAAAGTGGCAAAATTATAGACTTGTCCCTGCAATACATCCCCTTTTTAATACAGGACAAGACCCTGCTAGCTTTGTTTACAGCAGCCTGGCACTGCAAACTACCTTTCAGTTTGTGGTCTACAATGACCCCCAAATCCTTCTCCATTTCTGACTTCCCCAGCGGCATACCCATAATTGTATAACCCATTTGTTTATTTTTAATTCCAAAGTGCATTACTTTGCATTTATCGACATTAAACCTCATCTGCCACATTAATGCCCACTCCCCTATTTTATCCAGGTCCTCCTGTAATGTTATAGTGTCTAAGTCCGTGTCTATTACCCTCCCTATTTTGGTGTCATCCGCAAACACGGAAATATCGCTGTTAACACCCTCCCCGATGTCATTAATAAATAAGTTGAACAATATGGGACCCAGCACAGAACCCTGAGGCACACCGCTCATTACACTAGCCCAGTCTGAAAAGGTGCCATTTACAGATACCCTCTGGACACGTTCCCGTAGCCAGTTCTCTATCCACGTACACACCACCTCATCTATGCCCATAGCCCTCAGCTTGTGTAGCAAGCGTTTGTGTGGTACCGTATCAAAAGCCTTTGAGAAATCCAGATATACCACATCCACCGGCTTACCTCCGTCCATATCTCTACTTACCCCCTCATAAAAAGTTAGCAAGTTAGTTAGGCAGGAACGGTCTTTCCTGAACCCGTGCTGATTGTCATTAACTATCCTGTTTTCCTGAACAAATTCTACCAGATAATCCTTTATTATGCCCTCTAGCATTTTACAAACTACCGATGTTAGACTGACCGGCCTATAGTTCCCAGGTTGGCACCTTGCCCCCACTTTCTGTCTCAGAAAGTGGGGGCACTTACCACCACTGTGGACTTACCACCACTTTCTGTCTCAGAAAGTGGTCATTAGGTCAGGATGTGAGAGGAAATCCCTCCAATAGGACCACGGAAAACAACAAAACACTGTTCTGGTCTGTAATATTTTCATGCTCGTGTGTATTTCTATTATTCTATTCTATCTATCTATCTATCTATCTATCTATCTATCTATCTATCTATCTATCTTGTATGAACAATGAGTAAATACCTGACAGGTTCTACCCCTTCGATGCTCTAATCAAAACTAGAAAGAAAACAAAAATTCACTGGATATCCACTTTAAATTTTCTAATCTCCATTGTGGCTTTCAAATTGGAAATGAGAATGTCTAGGTCTTCTTAAGTCAACTTTCATTGTAGTGAAGACTATACAATATTGACTGTAAAAACGTCAATACAACAGTTGCCTAAAAACAATTAAAAGATAACAATGAAATACATTGACTCACATTTATCGAAGCTAAAAACCAATTGCTGTATCCTACATGGAGAACAAACCTGGGCACATGTGTACTGCCTATAATTCCTTCCCAATGAGCTGTAAATTGCTGTCTGTACTTTGCAAGCACCTCATTTATTCTGTAGGCTGGGCTGAGCGTTTCTGAAAAGAGACACGATAAATAGAAAATTGAGCGTTTCAGACCATTTACTTTGCTTTTACCTGGCATGTGTGAAACAATAAATAATGAAGATAACTCAGGTCTCCTTTTATTTACCAACATTAGACCTTAACAAATCCATATGAAATAACCACAGCATCATTTGTATTGTTTTACAACATTGACTGTTGGAATGACAAAGATAGAATGGTTGCACAAGGACATGCATTGTAAAATCATCTTTACAGCCCAATAAACTGGTCATGTGTTACCTTTGGAATAGATTTAACATATACATTTCGTCATAAAAAACAAAACTGAGGGTAATACCGTTAAAGGTAACCTGTGCTTTGCCCATACAGGGCTATGCAGAAAATTCGAAGGATTGCCCCCTGTTGTCCATACTTGCCTTCTCTGATGTTCTATTTACCTGTCAGAGCAATGCCAATTTCCTGGTATTTCCAGGTTTGGTGGCAAAGATTATCTGACTCTCCCCCTTCCCACAATGCAGCACTGAATACCTAAACAGCCAATCGCTAAGGCCTGATCTCTGCTGCGGGGCAGAGAGAGAGAGAGAGAGAGAGAGAGAGAGAGAGAGAGAGACTCCTTAACCCCAGTATAACCTCCACCCGTATTATCTATATGCTTATACAAAGCTTCTTCTTTTCTCTCCAGGTAGCAAACAGAAGGTGAAAAAAGACGGCAGGACAGTACTTGAAGTATAACTGAAAACTGAAGCCAAACTGAACTGGAGCCTGAAGTTTAATTTTGGATAGAGGAAGGGATGGTCATAGGAGAGAGAGGGAGAGAGGGAGCTATGGAGAGAGAGAGATGGAGAGGGAGAAGAAGAGAGAGAGAGGGAGAGAGAGAGAGATGGAGAGAGAGAGGGAGAAGAGAGAGAGAGAGGGAGGGAGAGGGAGAATGAGGGGGAGAGAGAGGGAGGGAGAAGGAGAGAGAGGGAGGGGGAGAGAGAGGGAGGGGGAGAGAGAGAGAGAGAGAGAGAGAGAGAGAGAGAGAGAGAGAGAGAGAGAGAGAGAGAGATTTTTGTTTTAATGCAACAAATTGATTAATCGAAAAAATTATCAGGCAGGTTTCCTTCACTTCCTGCCCGATAGCCACAACTGGAAGTGAGAAGAAATCCATCCAAAGAGGAACATCTCTGGAGGTCAGCAGGATCACAAGATCAAGTGTCCACATTTGAAGATTTTCCATCTATTCCTGTTCTGATGACAACCCAAAATGTAAGATTTTCTTTCACTTTCAGTGATAACAGTAACCAGGACCAATAGAGGGTAAATCTCCTTAAGTGGGACCCAGAAAGCAATAAGAAACTGACAGGTGTTCTAATCCCTCGCCCATCTATCCAAAACTAAAATTCCTTCAGTTGCACTTTAAGTGAATTTGTTGCTGTGCATAGACACTTTTTGTAAATATTGTCTGGTGAAATGAAAGCACACCTTTTTTTTACTCTAGTGCTCTACCATCGTAAAAATATTACCTGGTTCCAGTATTTCATTGTAAGGATCCACGATATCTGATACAGATTGTTAAAGAAATAAAACACATTACTGAGATATGACAAGTGTGGCAGTCAGTCACAAAGTCAATGTCGGCTATACAATTCTAATGGTGGATGACATGGTGACTCAACCATATGTGTATGCCGTCATCCTAATATTGCTTCCTTTGACATAACACAATATTTTGTTTACATGGCCAGATCTGGCAATATCTGAGTCAAGAAGACCGGGGAGTAGCGAGCCCGCACTGCAGCAGTATAAGGCTTAATAAGCATTATACATAACCGATAACATCTGTACATAAACAATTCAGTCTTGTTACTACACTCATAGCTAGCTAATATTTCAAATATGAAACTGCATTTCATATGTTACAATTTATTTAAGGATACACTTGAAACGATGGGTTTCCACAGGCATGCAGTTAGCTGGCAGAACGCGTTTGATAGGCACCTAAAAAGAAAATATACAACATGGATATATCCATGAATATAGGATGACGAATAAAAATAAAATGCTAACACTTCTGCATTAAACATCACTATGGGGTATATTTTTAAACAATTTGCAGGGCCCTTCACTCTGGAGCAAGAAAAAGTTATTGTCAACAACAAAGACCAGCTATGACCGAAGACCAGGTCTATGTCCGAATGCATTGACTGTGACATTCATGATACATTAATACCGATCTTCTGGAGCACTGGTGAGTAGCTGGATGTCTCCTTATACATTGTACTGGATGTTTGAAGCAGTGTACTACCATTACCACCCTAAGTGAGCCTTGAGCTGAAGGTGGCTTATTGGAAGTAGATTGGGATCCTTTTACTCTCTCTATATTTACTCCATAGTTCTTCAGGACATGCATTTATGATCCTTTCCCACCAGCACCAGGTGATAAGGTCAGCTTGGCTAAATATTACTAGTAGTCCAATTAAATGCAGAGGTGGGGAGGAGCAATGGTAGTACACACTGCTGGCACCATGTATTTTGGGGAAACAATAACACTGGAAAGGGTTTTTCAGTGATTTGGTTAAAAGCAGCCATATCAGATGACTATTACCTAATGTGTACAACATTAATTTGGTTCACCTTATGTGAACCATACATCTTCCCTTTTACACATCACAGAGGACTTACATGAACCAGAAAATACCATATTTAATTTGGGCCTCCCAGTGCGCCAAAGCATGGAAAGCCTCCTAGCAAACACTGGGACCCTCAATTGTTTGAAATGTTTGTTAGACTAAAATCTGACTGCAGAAATACAATGGGGGGAATTTATCAAAGCAATCGCGACAGTTTAAGCCTCCTAGATCATTTTTTTTTAATGTGCAAATCTGTTTTTTTAACATGTGCCCCTGTTTTAACCTAAGCTTGCACTATTTTTCCAACTACACATGTTTTGCACCTGTTTTGATCAGAGCTTGCACTATCGTATATACTCGAGTAAGCCGACCCGAATATAAGCCGAGGTACCTAATTTTACCACAAAAAACTGGGGGAAAATATTGACTTGAGTATAAGCCTAGGGTGGGAAATGAGGCAGCTACTGGTAAATGTACAAAATGAAGATAGATACCAAACTTATACTCGGGTATATACGGTACTTTTTCAATTGCATGTTTTTTGCATCTGCACTTGTTCTGCGGCTGTCTGAAACTGGAACATCACCTAACAAAACCATCACACCTTAAGAAGTCCCACTTCTTCAAGAAACAACAGTTAGGGCTTGTTCACACGACGTCCGGATTGTGTCCGGACCAGAACCGTGCGCTCCTGCACTGAAAATGCATCCCAATGTATCTCTAAGTGTTTTATGGGCTACAGTTCTCACGTGCGCAGTCCGGACAGAGAAAATACTGCATGTCACATTTTGTCCGGTCCGGAAATGCACGAACGCGTCAAAAACGCAACGAAAACGCACGGAAAACACACCACACTGCAGCTAACATACTGACAGCCCTACTCCCAAAAAAAACAAAAAACTTTTTAAAACTGGAACGCGTCAAAAACGCACTGCACGCATAGCACCGCATCTGCAGATCTGCAATGTCTGCCACACAATGATACAACAGGACCTACAGATAAGAAACCACACACACGGCTTCCAAACAGTCTGTACACGTTTAAACAGCTCAAATATGTATGCCAGTCTAAAATAAAATAACAACATTTTATTCAAATCATGCAAATAATAAAAAAAAAACCAAAGACCTGGTAAGTTAGGAGCAATGCAATAATACAACAGTAACTGAGCATTAATCAAATTTAAAGGTACACTCCAGTTGAAATGCAAAATATAGCATAGACATGTATACAAAGTGTAAAGTCCACTTGCTCACAGGTTGTTTTTCATCTGCTACTAGCTGCAGTGTACCAAGCTACCCCATCAATAAAAATCACATTGTATAGTGTAATTTGGACTAATGTTCTCAATCCCACCGACTGAAAGCTCCCAAACTACCAATCGACAGCACATATGAGGAGGATCTAAAGAATTGAGGCAGCAAAAAATAACACAATGGGTGGAATTGATCAGAAATGGAGCAGACAAAATCTGAAGCAGTTCTGCATGCCGACCAATCAGCTTCTCTCTTCATTTTGGTCAGTTAAGATTTGAAAATGAAAGAGAAGCCGATTGGTTGCTGTGCACAGATGCTCCAGATTTTGTCTGCTCCAGTTTTGATAAATTCCCTTCAAAGTATTTCTAGGTACTCGGCCACTTTTACATATTTCCCCTGTGTAAGCGATGATGACTTTTCATGATGAAGTTGACATGAAAAGTTCAAGAACAAAGTTGTCAGATTTTCCCATCAATAGAAGTCATATTAGCAAGCACACAGAGAATCTACCCATTAAACAATAGGTATACCAACACTGCACATACTCACCGTCTTTATATTCTTTTTCTGTTTGGATTCTTTAGCACTCTTCACCTCTCGCTTTCCCTCTCCTTCTTCTGTAAGGTACAGTTCAGAAAGAATAACTCAGAAATGCATTGTTACTTGTCAAAACATAAGCTATAATTATTAATTGATAAAGTCCACAGCACAGATCATGGCAACAAGAGTTTTATTACTGAGCATGCTGAAAAATAGAATAATTGATCTGGAACACTGCTGTGGCTTCATGAAGATTGCACAGTAGGGAAACACTCTGATGTATCCATACAAACCAGCAGGCTGATCAATCAGTCTAGAGTGACAACGATTTGTTAGAGCAACACTATCCAGACTTGAAATGTACGATGTAAGACAAATCTCCTCTCTACTGCAACAGGTAACCTATAAAGTTGTATAATACATCTTAAGTTGCATTAGGTTATGAGGTGCCCCCTTTGAAAAAGGGCTTCCTAGTTGTCATGTTGATCCTGTACTTTCGGTATTCTGCCACTAATCCGCAACAAGTATATTTGGAGTCTGGCTTTGCTCTGTAAGTATGCATACTTGTTCCACATCAGTCAAAGTATTGACGCCAGGGGACAGGATTGGCAAATGAGCAACTTGAATTTTCAGATGGTTTAAAAACACCTGTTTTTAAAATAGATGTAAACCATAACTGGATGACATAGTCTGCGAAACCACTGCGTATCATAAAAAATTACCATGGTTTTTCTTTTAGGAAATACTATTTCGACCTTGTTCCATCCCTGCATCTCAGTGCTAATGATTTCTTCTTCTGTCTATATGCACTCCCGGAATGGCTGCATGGCATACCCCAGAGCAGGTTTTCTAATGGTGACAATAGCAGATCATGGCTGCAAATCAGGGTCGGCATTGCTGCATTAAGTGGTGACAGTGACAATGCAGGAGACGGGGACAGTGCATTGCCATCCCATCACAGGAAGTGCCTGAACAAGGATCTTCATGGAAGTAACACCAGCTGTTATTTTTTATTTTCAGATTTAAAACATTTAACATTCACTTTTGAAACTCCATTGAAATGTTTAGGATTATATAAGATTTTAGTGGCTGGGTTTACATCAACTTTAAAGTGACATTAAAGGCTAAATCCCCCCTCCCCTCAATGCTAATGTAAGGACTTACCTTAAATTATGCCTCTTAATCTGATCATCTTCTTCTTTCCTGTAGTTTTCAGGAGTCCCTCCAGCGCTGGTGCCAGTCTCCGATCCAATGCTGACTCCTCTGTCTTAACTGGCACTTCCTGGCCCACGGAGTCTGTGCGGGTGCGTGCTGCTGCATTTACTTACCTTGTGTTTCTCCTCGTTTCCTAGCCGAAGATCTGAACTGCGCATGCGCCCGCCTGAGAATTCTCAGATGTGTAGACGGGAGCGCACAGCAGACACACAGGGTTTAACCCTTTGGAAAAGGTTTTTTTTTCATGTTTTTGCATATATTTACTGCTTGCTAGCAGTAGATATGTAAAAAAAAAAAGTAGGGTTTAATAACCCCTTCAGGCTTAATTAGACTTAGCTTATATTGATAGTGGCATTTCTCTGGGAATTAAAGGGTGCTGCATTGCATGTACACTGCGAACTGCACAAGATACTCAATTTATAGCAAGCGCTAAGGTCCACAAATTAATTTGCGGAGTTAGAAACACACTCCAATATTATGAAAGAAAAAAACCTCTTGGAGAATGCCAGCCTAAGTGCAATATAATTATTATTCTGTACATTTTGTGTTCAGATAATGATTATGTTGCCTCTATCCAGGGCTGCCTGCATCTGCTGTAATCACTGGTGTCCTTGACATAGTTTTGAACTTTATAAAAATGTACATAATGTTAAATAACTTGCTCATCTGTAAAATGTAGCTCAACATGCAATACAATGTAGAAAGAAGGTTAAATGCCTATAAATATTTAAGTATTTTCCTAACATAAAAAAAACAAATAAAACAAAAATGTATGTGCATGTGTGTCTATGTATGTAAATATGTACCTACTGATGTAAAGTTTCCCAATGCAATTAAATTACTCAAATAAGAAAAAAAAGATTAGGAAACACCAACCAAATGTAAGGTAGTAAAGAATGTGCACTATTCATGCAATCATGAATGTCACATTTATTATTGGGAAATAGGTGTTGTGGGTGCTCTGTGAGTTGCACTATATATGTAAACTATTAATAGGTGGGTTACTACCATTTTTCAGAAGTAAGTTCCTTTACCTTGCTATGAAGGCTGTCTTAGCAAGGAATTGTTAAGGTGGGAGGGAATGGCTTTATGCAGTAGATGGAATGAGTTGGGTAAATGATGAAAACATGCATAAGCAAGGGTTACCTTCAGTGAAAACTACTTGTCAAAATAATTAGTTGAACCAGAGTTCTAGGCAGCTAAAGTTATATGCAAATCTCAAAATTTCTTGTAAAAGTCAAACTTGGTCACAGCCTCTCTTGAATCCAGATCCTCCCTGTTGCTCTTTTAGTGCGAGAAATGGCCTCATTGACCAACAAGGAGACTCACATGTGGGAATGTGTTGGGTCAAGTTAATCTCTAACAGGAAAAGCCACTATTTGCTTATATCTTTAGCTCCCTATAGCCCAGGACCTACCAATTCCAATGACATAATGTTTTCACTGAAAACATGAGGATCAGTCAAAAAGTAATACCTCCATGTCTGTAATTTGAGATCTATTAGAGTGACTGTGAATGTTCATGTACCATGTTACAATTTTTTCTTGTATTTTCTGCACAATGGGTAGCATTACCTCTTTTATTAGACTAAATATCATGTAGATGAATTTGCTTTTACATTCTTAGAAACCTCAACAATTTTGGAGCAATTCATGAAAAATTGTGATAAAAGATTACCAGGGTCAATCAAAAAATAATGCTTCCATGTCTGTAATTGAGATCTATTAGATCTATTCAGTCTAATAAGATCTATTTAGTCTAATAAAATGAGGTCATGCTATTCATTGTGCAAAAAATTGTTGTGTTCTTTGTATGTTGTTTTTTTAATTTGATGATATTCCCATGCAATGATGAATACTGCTTTAAGCATTACATTGAGATACTGTTCCACACAGAGAGCATATGGTTATCATTTATGGTCGTCATTGTGACATACACATTACCTGTCTGCTCTGTGTGAATCCTGTTATACAGTAATTGAAGAGAAAAGTCTCTAGACACGGAGTTTACTGCATCATCCTTGAAAACTGCCAGCGCTTCAAGTGGCATCTGCTGAAGGAATCTGTCTGCCAATACTATAATGCAATCTCCCACTTCTACTGAGGCACCTACAGGAATGGAAAATATTGCAGAAGACACAAGTCAAAAAATACACAAATTCCCAAAAGAATATCAAAAGGCATGAAATAAGACATGCCTGATACGTATGAAAACAGCGTTCCTGGCTCAACTAGCATCCATCAGTTCACTAGAAACTAGAGCATTGGAGGATATATACATTTATGGCCTAAATACTCATCCCAACAAACTGCTGTCTTTGTGATGTAGATGACAGTAAATGGTACAGGGGCTTTATAACTTAAACATAAATAACAAGGAGCTATCACAAATTAATTCAGCTATGTGTTCATTAAAACATTTATGTGTATTTGCAAGAGCAACTAGTGCAAACTTTGACTTGGTATCAGCCTCCAAAATGTGACCTGGTATCAGCCTCCAACTATACTAGGGAGAAGCATCACAATGCCTGTCAATTGTGCTTCATTGCTCATGTGCTAACAAGGAACCTGCTGACAAGAGGAGAGAGCAGAGTGACAGAGAGATGAGCGCACCACTGTTTCTCATTCACTGTCCAGTCAGGCTGGGATTGAGCTAATTGTATTACTTAACAACAGTAGAGAAAAGAAAGGTCTCCAGGATGGATTCTACCTGTTAGGTTTGTGTAAATTTGGGGATTGAATGAAAAATAATCCTTTAGCACGCAAAGCATCTGAGCAGCGCGGCTCCCCTTGATATGACAACCTGCTCACCTGACAAATATATTGTACTTCACTTTCCGACCTCCAAGATGTTCTGCTTCCAGTGTACACAAAAGACACTGGTCGCATACTTTCTTTCCTGTAGTCATTATAAAGTGACTTAATTTAATGCAGTCAAGCGAAATGACTGTCTAACCACCTATTTAATTTAGAACATACTTGGTGCAATACCAAGTCAAGGACTGCTTGAGCTCCAAACAGCCCTGACTCTTGGTACGTACTTGATGCCGGTTTCTCCTCCTTCTCTCTGGACTTTGCTCGCACTGACCCAGTGGATGAAAGTGGTGGAGACGGCTGTCTGCAAATCAGAAGTAGCAAAATTACCTTTCACATCACTAAGGAACAGTGATAGCAGGATGAGGTTTAAATTATAAATGTTTTTCAGAGACATTTCTCAGACAGATACATGTACACAGCAGCAAAAGTGTTTTTTTTAAATTCATGTTGCAATGCCTGTTGGGTTAGAAAGAGTTCAATATGCTAGATAGAGCATATGCATATCTACCCACTGCGCATGTCCTGAAGAAATGGCATGTACATGCATACGATGGGGCTAGGTGGATGACCGGACGTGTCTGTATCATGTTCCCTTGTGTTCTTATATTTTTGCACTTTTTTATTTTGCAAAATCGAAAATAAAATCTTATTATTTAAAAAAAAAAAAGAAAGAGTTCAATAAAGGGGGTAATTTCTTCCAAAATTGCTAAGGGTGGCCATAAATGGGCAGATATCCCCCAAAGGAAAATGGCTGGGGGAATCATCTACCCAACATATGCTCCATATAGCTTTTTGTAGACTTTATCTTAAATTTAGTAAACTGTACAATCTAACTGTATCATTTATGGCCAGAATTACCTATGGTTAATATAAAATAACATGTTTTACTCTAGAGCATTATTAGGGCCTACCATAAAAGGTGTACCTCCCAACTTCTTTAAAGTTCTATTTATGCACATGCAAAATGCTGGCTCAACTTACAGGTAGAAACAATTAAATATAAAGAGAAATAGTAAATACTAATTGTTGGGGGCATTTAAATAAATTGATAAACACTTTTAAAATGCCAGAATTTCCTTATAAGGAATAACAAGAGACATTGAGGAGAATCTATCAAAACTGGAGCAGACAAAATCTGGAGCAGCTGTGCATGGCACCCATCAGCTTCTGTCATTTTCAAATCTTAGCTGAACAGACTGAAGAGAAAAGCTGATTGGTTGCTCTGGGCAACTGCTCCAGATTTTGTCTGCCCCAGTTTTGATAAATTCCCCCCATTGACCTTTAAGTGGACTGTTCCACTGGAGGTAGCAAAATAGTATGCTTTCCCCATGAAGCTAAGAATCGTATGAATGCTCCAGCATGGGAAATGTAACCAGAATGCTCCAGCATTGGAAATGTAACCAGAATGCTCCAGCATGGGAAATGTAACCAGAATGCTCCAGCATGGAAAATGTAACCAGAATGCTCCAGCATGGAAAATATAACCAGAATGCTCCAGCATGGAAAATATAACCAGAATGCTCCAGCATGGGAAATGTAACCATTCTGTTTATACTGTGCTGTTTATAACTTTTCTCAGTCCTTATGCTAACAATGAGGTTATAAAACCCCGTAATGGTGTATTAAGGGTTTAATTTGAGGGGTATATTTACATGAAACCTGTTTTATTTTTTTCAGCAAATATCAAAGTGTTTTTTGTATCAAAGTATTTTATACTGCTTTGCAGCCACTAAAGGACAGGCAACTTTGCATGTCAGTGAAAACGGTATATTTGTTGCCTGGAGGTTAGGAGAACATCAGTCATTGCCAAAATCTTGGATATTACCCACATTTAAAAAAAAACAAAAAACTAGAGAGTGTGAAAACACAGCTTTTGTCCATAGCAACAAAAGACATTCCCTGTTTTTTTTCCTAATGCAAGTTAAAGTACCAAAACTTAACTTAAGATGGCTGTCGTAGACAATAGCCATATCATTTCTTTGCTCCAGTCTTTAAAAGTCTGCACCTGTGCATAAATGAGCAAGCTAAAAAGGTTTACTTAGAGAAACTGTCACAGGTTTCAATGACTCTCTAAGGTCTAATGCAAACACACTGTCCTATGCATGAAATACACAGTGCTTACATAATGGACAAATATAGAAATCACACATTTATATTTAAATATTGTAAACACATGATTGTGTAGGAGTAGATCAACTTTTCTGTCCTGCCATTTTTTAAATCTTCCAACAGGATATGTAATAAATAAAAGTAACAGATGCTTTCCATACAGCCATAACTGCATCAAATACCAAATGAGAAAAAAGTCAATGCATACCTTGGCTGAGAGACCTTAAGCTGGTGCAGCACAGGGCTCAGGTACATGTTCAAGGCTTCTAATATTTCTTGAAACTGTGTAATGCATTTCTTCTCACTCTCATCTTCTGGAATAATGTCTTCATTCTATACAGAATGAATGATTATTAGAAAATATAGTTAGAAAAAGTAACCCAAACTAACTGGATTTACCTGTCTTTGGCTTAGGGCAGCCGGCACAATAAAACATAATTTCTGTTTGGTTGATATGCCTTACATATCATACATGGACAGCCTCATTGACCAACAAGGAGACTCCCATGTGGGAATGGGTAGGGTCAAGTTTACCTCTAACAGGAATGGCTGAGATTTGCTTATATCTTCAGCTCACTATATCTCAGGACCTACCAATTCCTTTGACATAACCTAAAAAGTAGAAAAAGTAACTGGATTTACCTGTCTTTGTCTTAGGGCAGCCAGAATAATAAAACATTATTTCTGTTTGGTTAATATGCCTTACATATCTTTATTTCCTTTTGCTTGTCCATAGAAAGTTTATAAAATCCTTTTGTCCGTTTCTGGGTTTACCTTAGTGGCTCTTTACACTTTAATGAGTTTGGTATAGCTTCAGCAATTGTCCTTCCATAGCACCCGTATTAAAATGGCCAAACTACCTCCTAATTCCGGGGAACAGATGCTCACTGTCTCATACTTTTACACTTCTCACCTTATCAATTTGACCCAGCTTGGCAAGATGTCTCTGCAAGCTGTCACAATTTAATTTAGAAGAGTGAAGGTTCATAGTAGTATGCATGACCTCCAGTCACCTTTGGGTGAGGATTGTGGTGGGTCCTGGTCTTACAACAACAACAGTGATATATCTCCTATCTTCTTGTACGCCTGGAGATATCTCTCCATATTTGCCCTTCCTTCCTCATTTTTGCTTTGTCCCTTTTGTGTTTGCCCACATTGCAGTGCCCTGCTGACCTCCGGCCCTTTAATCATTACTGTACCCACAATACCCCCTCATACACACTAGTAACTAAAGGGGTCACAGAAAATGCATTTCACAACAGCCTTGGGAAAGAAGCATACATGGCATGCCTTAAGGTGATTTTGTATGTCAATTCCTATCCACATAACATTACAATTAGAGAGAATAGATATACAGATTCACATGAGAAATTTACAGGGCAAAAAAAATGAAAACAAATCAGGCATATATCTTAATACATTGTACAAGCCCATTTACTATACAGAAATGCACAGGAGAAACAGAAATTGAGTAATGTCAATCCAGGGACAATCATCTTACAGATACATGAAGACATATTAGCATTGCAAACATTACCATTGCTGGATTGTTAATGTTTTCAAACGCATTCTTCTGCCTTGTGAAGCTCAGTTGATGTTCCCTTTTGAGGAGATTCTGCATGGTATCTTGTTTGAACAGCTCCATCTTCTCCAACAAGCTGGAAAACATCTGACGATCCATAGAACATCGGGCCACTTTGGCTCGCACTGATGAAATGAAGAAGAAACTAACTAATGCAGTAACAAGAACAGTTCTAATTAACAAAAAGAGAACAGATACTTCTCAGCACAAATGTTTCTCCCACTAAACAGCACCAATAACAAACTTACTGGTTCTTTGTTGTTGGTTTAACTTTCCCTTCTGTGTTGAGATAACTTTTGGTTTTTCAAGTTGAGCTCCGTACAAGAAAGATCTATCACAAACATTAAAGCAGGTTTAAATACAATGTAATTACTAAAATACAGATCAGTTAGTTTCAGATTCTCAAAACTTCATAATGAACATAAAATGCTGTGTTTGATAAACTGTAACAAATAATTATTTCCTTTTTATAAAAGTTTTTGCAGCAACAATGTAAGACATTTTTACATTCTGGTACCCAAGGTAGGTAAACATGGATAAAGGACCAGTAGGCCTTAAAGGCACACTATAGCAAATAAATGGGGTTAATACCTGTAAGTATAAAATTCAATATATCAATTCCTTTTTTTTTTTATTTCACATAGCTATATTTCTCCTTATATTTCTCTTCACATTTACATAAAGACCATGATGTCCAGCAAAAGAGACATAAGTGTTGGGAGTTGGGACAAACCATATAGCCCTCCCAGGGAATGCTTACAATTGTCTTTTTGGTTTAAACCTTTTTACCAAAAGTAAAAAAAAAACATTTTTGTAAATGCTTCAAAAGTTATGCACTGGCTTTAGTTTGTTTGTCACTTAATTCTAGTCCATTCCAGGGGTTTTGCTTGCACCAGGCACCTGGGGCACATGAGAAAGAAAACACTGGGCGCCTGATAATAATCCTTTTATTGAAAAACTGTGTATATTAAAACACTTATACTCACAAATAGAGCAAGGACAGTGTCACATTAGACTAGTAGTCCTCACTAGATGGACCGCTGCACAAGGTATGAATGTCCAGGAGCTCTACTCGTAGTGAGACTCACTGCCACTAAGCTGAACACGTTTTCGGGGAACTTCCCATTCATCAGAGCTCTTATGCAGTTCCGGGATCCCTTGTCCGTTGCGGGGCAGCCTACTGGATTTCTGTTAACTCCTTGAGCCACAGATCTGATCCCACTTTACTGCCACCCAAATGCGATAGAATGCAGTGACGATCCTACCAAGACGCAATGATACCACTCTCGGCTTCACAGTGCACAGAGATTTTCAGGATTGTGGGACAACAATCTAAGGCCAGCAGAGAAATCATCACAGGGGTTGGTGAACTCTGCAGTTAACCCTTTACACAGAAATATAGCAGCCTGTTTTAATAGAAACAAGCACTGCTCCCAGCAAATGCTTTGACAAATCAAAACTTAAGCAATGCATGTGATGTCCACTGTCCTTTCAGACAGGAATATAACAGGCTTTACAATATGGTAGCACTCTTCACGGTGTCCTGGGTTCTATGGTTCCAGCAGAGACCAGTCAATGAAACAGAAAATGGATCTGGGATTGGCTCTCTCAAATTAAGACTTGGCAAAATGCTTGTTTCCTGATGTTAAATAAGAGCTATCAGTTGCCTCGTGCAACAGCTATTTGTGGGCCCTCTAGAGCAGTGGTTCTCAACCTGTGGGTCGGGACCCAAAAGTGGGTCGCAACCCACAGTTGAGGGGGTCCCCACATGCCTTGTGCTGCTCTAGGTAAGAGCTCCTCAGCCTCCTCCTGGGGTGGCAGTGTCAGTTCTCCTAGGTGGACGCTGCAGCAGCAGCGGCCGGAGAGGATCAGAGAAAGGGGAGCAGGCAGGAGTGAGGGGAGGTTAATGCTCGTTCACCATAGAGCCCACAACTAGGCACTACAGAGCCCGCACTGGATGCCACCAGAGAGTCCCACTAGCCACCTGAGAGCCCGCACAGCCTCCTGAGAGCCCACACAGATACTAGTATTGGTGCATCCCTAAATTTTATGGTTGGGGGTCACCACAAATTGGCAAATGTTACCTAGGGGTCCCGGCCCTAGAAAGGTTGAGAACCACTGCTCTAGAGGGTGTCAATGGGCCAGCCCTCCACCCAATCAGAAAAGCCCAAGGGGGTGAGATAGGAAGGCTGAGGAGCTTTATGATCTCTCACCTGCCCCTCCCATCATGTCACTTTCACAAAAGTAGCCATATTTTTATGTACCCACATGCTACCACCTGATAAAGAATAGATCATTAACTGAAACCTTGACCTGATGGGGGTGCTTAAGAAATGCTCCACTAAACAATACAACAAAACAAATCGGTATATCTGTAAAAAATAAGTCAAGGCAACTGGACTGCCTTGACTTATTTTTTACAGATATACCATGACCTGGATGAATGAGAACCTTCACAGGCAAAACAATCGGTGATACACTGATGAAGCAAAGAGAAAATACAATGCAAGCTCTGGAAAAGGAAGAAAAGCTTCAGATCATAGGATATGCAGTTTACCTGTCTTCTGAATGTTGCAGAATAATAATACTGAAGTTTGGTGGCAGCTCACTAAACATACTGAAATGCTGCACTGGGACATGTAAATTTCCCCATACCTAAAATATATGAAAATTAGGGAAAAATATATTGCACAGCTACACAGATCATAAAGTAATAATAATAATTAGTAGTAATAAGTAATTGTGTATGTTAGAACCTGGGATATAATACATTTAATTTATGGGCACTTTTCAGATAACAGTCATCTGGAGATTAGATCCAATATGCCTGGTTAATCACAGAACATTTGTTTTGAACTATAAAATATTTCCATCCACCTCACTCAGAGAAAGAGCCAAACTACTTGTCTTTTCAGACTCAAACATTGTGTTTATATGGTGGTATCTGAAATCTCCATGCTGTGAATCTTAATTAAGTGGACACCTGTAAAAACACTTAAAAAAATAGGCCTAACACAAGAGAACAAGGTGCTCAGATAATCCACTCATACGATATGCATTATACATTATTGAAAACACTTGCATTAACAGTGGGGGTGTGCAACCAACGTAGCTGTATTTGACGGGAGCATCACTACATTAGTCCAAGCCAGCCAACATATCGGATATCAAACTAGGATAACAGTATCTACCTGCACCAATTAGTGCAAATTCTGCCTGCTACACCCATCTAGGCCCCAGCCAAACTACACTCTCACTATAGGCTAAACCCATCTGAAAGTCCAAAATGGAGGACTGTCCTTATAAAACAGGATAGACAGAAGGGTGTAGAGTAGGGGCAGAAAGACTCTGCTTGAGGATCCAAGTACTGTCAGTGGCTGATTCCTGCAATGTATATGATAGAAGAAAACAAAGATGTTTGCACATTATTTATAAAAAGCATGGACCATCTAGACCCTTGGTTCTCAACTGGTGGGTCGTGACCAAAAAGTGGGTCGCGACCCCATGTTCAGTGGGTCACCCTGTACCTTCCACTATGCTAGGTGAGAGACTCCTCAGCTCCCCCTGTCAGTTCTCTCGCCAAGCAGCCATTCAAAATCTGCTGCCGAGTGTCAGCTTGAGGAGGGATGGGCTGGGGCTTTGAGCGTGAGGGAGCTCCATCCACACGTACCACTCCCTTGCGTGTCCTGTAGTGGTGCCTGGACCAGAGTGATATCACATTCTGGCTCCTGGCATGTCTACAGGGCACTCAAGGGAGCTGTACAAGCATTGCACATATGGATGGAACTCTGTCACAGCACAGCAGCCCACACTGACCCCAAGCTGTGGATGCACTCCAGCTCTCGTAAGGTATGGAAACTGGGTGAATCTTTGAATGACATCCAAAACGCACCTCCCACCCACAGTTCGATCGTGTGCACCAGAACGCGCAGTACCGCAATGTTGCACATTCCATTGCAGTGCGACTTGGGTCGCCACTTAATGACTAAGGACAAATGTGGGTCCTGAGGTTACACAGGTTGAGAACCACTGATCTAGACACTTGTAAAAATAAAGGGGAAATGGGATACTTCTGTACCACCGAAGCCCCATGGTTAGCCTCAATACCCATGATGTAATTAGCTTCTACTGATTTGCAGCTAACCATAATAGCCAATTACTTCTTACTACTTTATTAACTACAAGCTAACATTACAAGATAAAAGTATCAATTATACTATGAATGAGAACAGTATTTACAAAAGTAAATATACAAATAACATTTCATGGCTTTGCTGCAACTCTCAAAATCTAAATATTCCTTTGTTATGCTTTATGTATATATGCACACATAAAGCATATCAATCAAAGCCAATTATTGATTGGATTTATTACTAATTAATTAGAGATATACCGCATTTCAGGCATATTATTGTCAGGACTTGCTGTATGTAAGATTCTTACCCTTGAGGAGGTGGCCATTTGTTGCTCGACCTGTTTCCGCAGAGGTCCTTCATCTTCTTTCTCTTGTAGATAATGCAGGAGGTTTAGTAATGCTGCAAACTGAGAGCTGCCAGTATTGCGTGCTGCTGTTCGCACTACATCTTTAATCATCATACAGGAAGAACAGCTCTAGGGAGATAAATATACAAACCAGTTCTATTGATCATGGCGATCATCATGATCAACTTTGAAAAAATCTTTCTGTGCATAAACATATATATATATATATATGCACACACACACACACACACACACACACACACACTATACACATACTGTAAATACTTAACCACTTGCCGTCCGCCCGTTGTAAAAAAACGGCACTGCAGCATTGGTGGGTTGCCGTCTCCAGACGGCATTTTTTTTCTGCTCGCGCGCCCCCTAGCGGGCGCACACGGGCAGAAAAAACCCGTCCAATGCAAACACCCGTTACCGGGTGTTTCACATATAAGGTCAACTGGTTAAACTCCCTTCAAGTATGCAGTTTTTTTCCTCTCCAAAATGTGATTTTTTAAAAGATTTATGACTAAAAGCCACATTTATATACACTATATTACCAAAAGTATTTACACGCATATGAACTTTAATGGCATCCCAGTCTTAGTCAGTAGGGTTCAATATTGAGTTGGCCCACCCATTGCAGCTATAACAGCTTCAACTCTTCTGGGAAGGTTGTCCACAAGGTTTTGGAGTGTGTCTATGGGAATGTTTGACGATTCTTCCAGAAGCGCATTTTTGAGGTCAGGTACTGATGTTGGACAAGAAAGCCTGGCTCACAGTCTCCGCTCTAATTCATCCCAAAGGTGTTCTATCGGGTTGAGGTCAGGACTGTGTGCGGGCCAGTCAAGTTCCTCCACCCCAAACTCACTTATGCATGTCTTTATGGAGCTTGCTTTGTGCACTGGTGCGCAGTCATGTTGGAACAGGAAGGGGCCATCCCCAAACTGTTCCCACAAAGTTGGGAGCATGAAATTGTCCAAAATGTCTTGGTATGCTGATGCCTTAAGAGTTCCCTCAACTGGAACTAAGGGGTCAAGCCCAACCCCTGAAACACAACCCCACACCATAATCCCCCCTACATCAAACTGTACACTTGACACAATGTAGTCAGGCAAGTACCGTTCTCCTGGCAACCGCCAAACCCAGACACGTCTATTGGATTGCCAGACAGAGAAGCGTGATTCGTCACTCCAGAGAACACGTCTCCACTTCTCTAGAGTCCAGTAGCGGCGTGCTTTACACCACTGCAGCCGACTCTTTGCATTGCACTTGGTGATGTAAGGCTTGGATGTAGCTGCTCGGCCATGGAAACCCATTCCATGAAGCTCTCTACGCACTGTTGTTGTGCCAATCTGAAGGCCACACGAAGTTTGGAGGTCTGTAGCTATTGACTCTGCTGACAGTTGGTGACTCCTGCGCACTGTGCACTTTAGCATACGGTGACCCCGATTTGTCATTTTACGTGGCCTGCCACTTCGTGGCTGTGTTGCTGTTGTTCCCAGTTGCTTCCACTTTGTTATAATACCACTAACAGTTGACCACAGAATATTTAGTAGCATGGAAATTTAACGGAACACCTGAATCCAATGATTTGGAGGGGTGCCCCAATACGTTTGGTGATATAGTGTATGTCAGTGACCTAGCAGCATAGAGCATTTAAGACTTTATTAAGGGCTGGGTTCTCTCTCATCTTAAATAATCAGTGCACTGTTAATCACAACATTGCTCCTTAAATATATCCATTCAAGTAACTTTGATTAATACCACAATTTATCATATTCTTTTATTTTGCTTTTTGCTGACACAAAAAACTATTCAAAAAAAGAGGTTGGGTTGAGATAACTAACAATGTATATGGGTCTATTGGCTGTCAATGCTGACAGCTGGCCGACAATATCCCCTCTGACAGAAAATCTTGCAAGTTTATGAAGTGCTCTGCAGAGCCTGGGAGATATGCATAACTTAGGGCAGTTACACTGTGCCTTCAGTTCCGATTGCTCTCTAATGTCTAAAGGCAGTCTTACTGACAAACTAGGCCCAAACAGACACGAGAAGAAAACTGAATGTAAAGTAAAGAGACACACAATTTTATTTTGCACATAATGCAAGTCAAATATAAAGCTGGTAGATGAGAAGCAGTCACAAATGAGGCCCCTTGACATCAAAAACTAACTGGCCCACATAGCTATAGTCATGTGAAAAAGAAAGTGCGCACTCTGCTATAGTTTTAGGTAGGGGTGCAACGATATCGATACTAGCATTGGTATCGGTGTCGATACCGAGTATTTGGGCGAGTACGAGTGCTCGCCCAAATATGCTCCGATACTTACCTCTGATACCGGAAAATCCGGCCAGAGGGAGATCTCCCTCTGACCACAATGCCAAGGAAGCATACAGCCGGCTTCCTTTCCAATCAGGAAGCCAGCCACTGGGATATGGCAGTCTCAGCAAGTGAAGCAGGTGTTCTTTCGCTAGAACACCGACTTAACAGGCAATCAGACTTCCTGATAATCTGGACACACGGCACCGGTACTCAGTATCGGCGAGTACCAGAAAAAATATCGGTACTCATACTCGATACCGAAAAACCAGTATCGGTGCATCCCTAGTTTTAAGTACCAGGACATAAAAACTATATGGTCTTTAGCAGGCCAAAATTGAAGAAGATTGGGACAAAATCTCTCCGCAGCGATGTGAGAAACTGATAAAGTCATACAGAAAATGATTACTTCAAGTTATTGCTGCTAAAGGTGGTTCTACAAGTGATTGAATCATAAGGTGTACTTAGTTTTTCACGCTTTGCTTCTCCATTTTGACTTTATGCTTGTAAAATAAATGACATGGTGCTATATGTCATGTGTTGTTGATCTGAGTTTGTATTTACCTAATCTTAAGAGCTGCTAAGGATGAGATCATTTTTATTATGTCCAGATACTTAAAATCATAGAATTCAAAGACAGTGTGCTCTCTTTTTCACATGACGTATGTTTTGGTCAGTATCTTAGACGACCCCTCAACAGTCCAATACCGTGCCTTCTAATATGGTAACCAATAAAAGCACTGTATGGGGCGGCCAGGCCATGTTGAGAGCCAGCAAGCACTTGCGGGTCTGTTTAGTATTGCACAAAGGCATTTTCCAAAGTAATGGAAAGTCTTGGTAGCCAGTGACTAATGTTTTACAGCAGACCAACAATCTCAAATGAAAAACTTACAAAGCTTCAAAAACCTCTATCAATTACTGCTTATAACTCCATGAAGACACTGTGCTGTCCCATTAATTAAAAGATACAGGATTCATATAAATAATTTATATAATGTATATGTTAACAAATATTTTACAGAATGCAAAGTAAACATTGAAAAACAAAAAATCCCAAACAAAAAAAGCCATCTGGCATAAATGTACCTGATGAAGAGCCAGAAAGGTGCTTGATGTTAGAGAGTCAAACTGTCCAAAACATGAACAGATCTCCAGACTGGCTGCTGACAATGTGTCCATCAGCTTGTTGTTTATTGCAGCATTAATGGACTGAAGTAAAATCTCATTGGATTGTGCAAGGTAAATCTCTGCCAATGCTCGTCTGGTCTGGGAAAAACAAAAGAGATACAGTTATTAAGATCCTCGTCTTCTTTCTCAGCAAACACAAATATTATAATTTTTTGAAACTTTTAGTCATTTACAGGAAGTTTTAGAATGTAGAGGAAAAGAGTCGAGTCTTGGGTCGATCTGAGTATGTTTCCCTATAAATGCCACGATAATCGTTATTAGTGATGAGTAGGAAGGAGGCAACCTGAGCTCACATTGATTGTAGAGAGAAAATCTTCGCTTGGCATAGCATAACTATCACAGCACTAGAGGAGGAAACTGATAACCATAAAGCAAGTGCATTTAACAACCTACCACCATGTAAATGTGGAGCTTCAGGGAAGCACTTATCGAATTAGGCTATTTCACTGATCACTAATGCAAGGCTTTGGTTTGAAGGGGCATTTCACAATGATCATGAACATAAAAGGGACTTTAGATGCTCCTCTTCTGACCACAAATGTAAAGGCCTATTGTTTTTTTTAAATAATGGAATATTTCCACTGACCACCAATGATGATGAGTGGTTAGGGGCCAATTTCACTGACTGCCAATTTAAAGTGGGCTATTATCACATTATGACAAGTAATTATGGCACGTTTTAGTGTTTTTAGTGTTACCACATCTTTTAAAGCATTTTAACATTCATGTTAGCTAAAACACATCAAAGCACATGAAAGTACAATGTTTTTAAATGCTATAGTGTAAATGGGACCTTAGGAGGCCATGCCTGCCACTGTTTGCAATCTAAAGAAAATAATGGAAATGAGACAATGAGTTCTAATTTTTTGAAAAGGGCAGGCCATTATCTAATAGCTAACATTAACATTTTTTAAATGTACTGCATGAACCACTGGCCCTAATTCAGTAAAATTACATAAATACATTGAAGTGGGAGAATGTGATAGAAGGTGTATTGTGATCTTGGTTGTAAAGTAGTAATTAAAACCAAAAAAAGGTGTTCGGCTGTGAAATTCACACCTTTAGGATAACTGATTCTCAAATGAGGTATGTGTCCTTTAAGGGGACCCATTTCCTACCCAAAGAAATTTAATAAAACCCATATATGTAAAAGACCTATAACATGTAAGAGAACTGTGGCAAACGTAGCTCCTAAAGTATACATATGGGTATTTCCCCATGTTATGTTTCTTACAAATGCTGCAGATGCAAAAAAAAAAAACGACCTAGTGATCCTGCCAGAAATGCACCCCGCTCCTAACTTCCGGTAGTGAGCTAAACACTGCACCAAGATAGCAGAAGGGGAAAAAACAACAGACACCAAATATGAAAGAGAACCCCCTGTCCTGAAGTCTCCTTAGAGATCTTCAATAAAACCCGTCTGAGAAAGTTTTTCAGTAAATAGGGCCTATACACATTTCAAATGTCTTTAATTCAGTCCCGCAGGCTATATAGAGAGAAATCCATCAATTCCCCCATGGAATTTCCACCTTCCGGCTCTTGTATTCAGAAGCTGCTGCTGCCGTAGCTTCTGAAATCCCTATCAGTGATTGCATCTGATTGGATACAGGTGCTGTTAAGCCAAGAATTTTTGGACCAGATCCTTCAACAAAAGTCAATTGAAAAATTGACTTCCGTTGAACGGGGGTAAAGAAGGGATGATGTGTGCTGACAGGGCCACCCACAACACAAATGTTTGGCCAATTCAGCAGAAATCGCCCGAGAATTGAGCAGTGTATTGCAGCTTTAGACCCTCTGTTGGGTTATTATTACTGTCTGTATCTGTCTGTCTCAGTGACAACCACTCCCCTCATTTTTTGTCTCATTATCAGAAGTACAGAAAGTGAAGCAAACAATCCCCTGTTGACGTCAGGGCTCTGTGCACTGAAAACATGATAGAAGTATTCACTATTCCTGAGTCTATTGTGTTTTAGCTGCAGTTGGGCTCTTTTGTATGTTGGGAGCAACATGTCAACAATTGTGGCCATGGCAAAGATACTATTTCAGCAGAGTAGGGTAAATCATTACAGAAATCTGGTCCTGCACATGTTCTGTGCTAAATTTACTATAATTGATCATTCAGCAGAAATATAACAGATTAGAGATAACAGAACATTTAAATCACAGTCACACGTATAAGAGGCCGAATCATATAGATGATGGCGCCTTTGTGTAATTGGTAGTATTGTTAGCAGGTCATACCAATGCTGCTGTTAATGTAATGTACATCATAATGTGCTTTTATAGGCAAATGCATTACCAATAATTATGATATTTCAGATCATCTAGGTGCCTTAAGTGCATTCACAGCAGACTTTAGTGTGAAGTAAAGTAACATGCTAAACTATGATAAAAATGCTTTCTACATCTGTTATTATTCTGTGAAAAGAATCATCCATTCTGTAGACTTTAACCCATTCTGGCACAGAACAGCCTTTTTTCACTGCATCAATTTGGAAAACAACCTATTTATTTCCTTTTCAATATAATTTTACCTTGTGGTCTTTGCCAACTGATAAGTCTGAACTGTGACAAGAAAATTAGTTTTCATGTGTTTATTCAAGGGCATTATGCACTGAAAACTAAACAAAAAAGTGTGGCAAGGCATTTTAAAGATAAGCAATCACAGCTGGACCCATGGAAGAAACTGTATATGTACTGTGATGTTAAATTATTATAATTTTGCAGGCTAACCTGTAAGGGATTTATAGTCACCCCCTTAGTTCTGCATACATCAAATATGACTTTTCAGCTTGAGAGTTGGGGTCAGAAGTTGACAGAAAGCTGACAATTACTATCCTGTCAACTGCCTGGTTTTGCAAAATGTTTTCCAACTCCCAGGGTTACTTGAGAGTGTCACACAATAGTCCAGCAGTTAGGACGAGTGATAGTGGCCATAGGGTTCTGTTACTTGATATTGTTGTTCACACTTCTAACTGTCTGGTCTCATACACGGTTAGACTTCAAGCAATTACGTTAAAGTGCCCCTGCTCGAAGTAAATCTTTCATACATTTTACAATTATGATAATGTAATAATTCAGATTATTGCACAAGCGCATTTATGACTAGTTCTTTTTACAGAGGCCTATGATGAGACATTGGCCAGTAATGTATAGCCCAAGGTGAACACCCATTTGAACACTCTATGAATATCATTACCTGCTGTCAGATCCTTTGCAAGGAAAACCCCCTGGCAGGTTACTCTTCCTACTAAGCACACACGCCATTGCCCTCTTCATTCCTATGGATGAGCTATACTCTGAAGGAGGGCCCTGACGGCTCATCCATAGAATGAATGGAGCCAGGGCATGCATTCACAGTAGGAAGAGGAGGAGAGATGTTTTCTTTGCAAAGGTTGTGCAGTGCCGGACTGGGTGGCACACTGAGAAACACTGGAACGGGGAGGAAGGTAAGTGTTTTACCAGGCAGGCTGCACTCAGGGGGAGTTGAGGGTTTAAAGCAAATGTTATTAAACATTGCAGTAGGGCTACCCCCACACTGCAGGGGTTAAGTGCTCAAGGTCGAAAAATAAAAAAAAGTTATATTCACCCAATTCTCCAGCTGGCTTGCTCTTAGACCAGTCCCTGGAGTGTCTCTCCCCCTCCTCTGCAGCGCTCAAAGGTCCCTCTAAGTCATCACATTCTATACACATTGCATAGGATGCAAGGGACATACAATCACTGCAGTGAAGGAAAAGACAGGCTGGGGGGAACGCAGTGACAAATGGCTGGCTCAGAGGATCGGGTGAATATGTGTCTTCTTATTTTTGACTCTAGGCAAAAACAAGCACTCAACACTTGCAGTGCGGGGGTAGCCCCACTCCAAGGGTTAGTACAATTTTTACCCAAAGTTCTTCTTTAGCTAAAAGGACAAATTACTAAAGGTACAGCTGTCCTTTAACATCATCCTACTATTAAGACATTTCTAAGTAAAGAAACAAGGGCAATACCTATATTTTCTTTATTTCTCCTTTAAAGCACATCATTTTCTTCAAGACTGCAGACAATTGCTAACATCTTTATATGTGTGTAAAAATCAAAACTAAATATGATAATTATTCCATAAACACATCAAAAAAAAAAAAACCTTAAAAGCCGCAGCTTTCTTTGCCAGCTGATCTAGCTGTTTATTAGTTGGCTTTGTATTGCCATCAGGCCACTCAGAGTCACTATCTCCAATGCTTCCGGTAGTTTTTCTTTCATCCTAGAAAACAAAAGGTATCAAACTGCAATTAACAATTTCAAGTGCTGTTTTGAGTTAACTATGAAAACATGCAGCTATAATGTATTAAACAGAATACAAAAACATGTACACAATGTGCCAGCAACCAACAGGAGTACAATGCCAGATTGGCGATTAGAAAATTCGAAACTATCTATGCAAAGCTGTGGCTTTTTAGAAGAGTGAATCTCTTAAATATGTGCTGCCCATCTCTTTCTCTAATAACAGTAAACAAAGATCATAAAAAATAAACATACCAAATAATGTTCATTCCAGTACATGTCTCCATCCAATGGGTTGATTGTAAAAGACTGCAGCAGGAGACATCTTCCTGTTAGATACAAACACCGTGCCTTCAGATCATTACAACCACCTGCTACTGTCAAAGCACTCGCCAACTGAGACAGCACAGCAGAAGATATTGTACGACCAAGCGTTTTCCACTCCTGCACCAAACAGAAAAAAGTCAGGAGAGAAACTACTAACACAGTAACATAATTACCATATATGAAAAAAATATAGGTCCTATAGGGTGTGACTGTGGCAATGACATTAATCGAATCAACACCTAGGAAACATATATCAAATTGACCAATATCTCTAACAGCAGGCCATTCATACATATATAAATAAAAGTCCAAAGATTTATCAACACCTGATCTTTACAACTATATAAGCTTGTTGGACATCCCATTTCAAAACCATGGGCATTAACTCTTCAGAAAATGCTTTCCCGAAGATTTGTTAGTGTATCTGTGGCAATTTAGCCATGAAGCATTTTTTTCATAAAGCATTTTTGATGTTCAGTACTGATGTTGGACGAAAAGACTTGGACCATAACGGACGTCCAGGTCACCCCAAAGGTGTTCAGTAATGTTGATATTAGGGCTCTGTGCAGATCACTTGAGCTTTTTCCCTCCAGACTCACCAAACCATGTAATTATGGACCTGGTTTTGTGCACAGGGACACAGTGCACATGCAGGAACAGAAAAGGACCTTCCCAAACTGCTGCCGCAAGGTTGGTAGCACACAATAATTTAAAATGTCTTTGTTTGCTGAAGCATTAACAGTACTCTTCACTGGAGACACCTGAGCTCACTTATTTGGAGAGTGCCCACTTACTTTTGGCCATATAGTGTATTTTTTTATTTGTGAAATTCTCTCTTGGGCATCTTGACCCTAATCCCTGGTGCACACTATACTAATTCTGACTTGGTCAAACCCTATGACACAGTCAAAGTCTATGAACATCCTACGCATCCCACAATACAAACTGCATCCTATAAAGAGGTCTGTGCTTTACTCTTTGGAATGTTGTGGAGCATACCAAAGTGTTTACTGTCAGTACCCAGCTGGTATTAGTATATATCAGAAACCAAAGTTCAAATAGCACATAGTAGAGAGAGATTTAACCAAAAAAAGTAGAGGACTCTTATTTTTTTTAGCTTTTTCTATTCCTCTTGGCTCCTCTCTGCTTCTGTTCTTCCCTACCTCCAGAATTCTTACTAAATTCTACTCTCCCCTCGCCTTTCTGGGTGACCTTAAAATGGAAAATTTAACTAGGCTGTAAGCTTCATGATCAAATATAAAATGCAATTTATTGCAGTTTGTTATTTACACTTGACTCCTGTTCAACATATCGCTGTCTATATCATTGAATGCAATACTGCAGATCCATTTCATGCTTGCCACTTGCTTGTGATGTGACATCCCTGTCCTGTGTGAAAAATGAAGCCAACATGCAAAGATCAAGCAAAAGCAAATCCAAAAGCCAATGAGGCTATGATAGTCTCTGTACAGCCATGATGCCTGATTTAAAAAAATTACATATTGTTCAAAATGATGGTTAGAGGATTTTATTCAGGGTTGGATTCATACTTCCCACCCACCGCAGGCAAACTTGGGAACAAGCCTCCAAGGCTGGCTTATCTCAGGAAAAAAAAAATAGTGATCTGAAACACATAGAAACCCACAGACAGGAGATACTTAAAGTGACACTAAATGCAGGAGTTAAATGTTAAAAATGCATTCAAGTACCCCAACTATTAACAAAAATGTATCTTATTTGTAAACACTCAGATCCTGAGATCGCTGCAGATCCTGATATCATCTCTGAATTCATGCTCACGCTGTCATTCCTTCTGGTTGGTGGCTACTTTTGCTGCCCATGGTCCGTATGTGTTGTAAAGCAGCCACGGCTCCAAGCTCACTCCTGTGATGGACTACAATTTCAGGTTTAGTTTACTAATTTGTATTGAGATTGTAGTCCATCACCGGAGCGAGCTTGGACTGGTGGCTACTTTACAACACACACAGGGGCCATGTGGAACAAAAGTAGCCACCCTCCAGAAGGAAGGACAGTGTCAAGATGATTTTAGAGATGATTTTAGGATCTGCAGCTGAGTGATTCACAAATAAGATACATTTTTGCTGATAGTTAAGGTACTTGAATGCATGCTTAAGATTTAACTCCTGAGTTTAATGTCACTTTAAATGCAACTACTAAAGCTTGCAGACCTGTTCAACAGAATTATAATCTGGAGTTGCTCTGACAAATTCTTCCACCATGACACAAAGGGCTCCTTTGCTCTTTTCCTCCTGCAGTTTTTTACTTTTTTCACTGATGACAAGCTGCATTATTTCCAGTGACAGTTCAGCAAAATACAGCTTCTTTTTAGCAAGTTTTCTCAGGACGGGCAAACAAACACCCCCTGCCTGTAACACAAAATTAAATCATGCTGAAACATAGTCCACAATGTCTAAAGATGGATTAATGTTTTGTTAAGGAAAACGCAGAAAAGAAAATAAATATTTCAGATGAACTTTGTATAAAGGCTATTGAAATAACACACCAAATATTTCTGTACTCTTTATTTAACTCGGTGCTACCCATATAAGCATGTCATCTATGACATGGTGATCATGTGAGTGTGTTAACAAACAGCTGTCAGTGGCAGCGATGGGCAAATGTAGTCTGCTTTTGAAATCAGTTTTATATTCTTTTGAGATCATTCAGAATTCATTGTTGGCTCAGTTGACCCGCATTTAACCTGCTTCAGCTGTTTTTACATTCCCATAGACTGGTATGGTGGGAGAAGCGGTTCTGGAGCAAACAATAGCCCGTTGACACTCTCTGCACATTTTTTTGTTTTTTCAAAGGACACAGTATAGTTTTTTTTTTAAATCACTTTTGGTCCATTTGCCAGCATGTAATAGTAGATTTTAGTCTTATTTAGCCTTACTTAGTATACAACTAGTTTAGGTAGGTAAATGAGTTAGAGTGATTGTCAAGTTAATGGAAATTAAAAAGCCCATGGTTTCTTCTGGTCACACCTTCACAGATTACAGACATAAATCCTAAAACCACCTTTTATCCTTTCCTCTTAAAAATAGACAAAAATCCCTGGGAGCAAGAGCAGATTTGTTGAGTAGTTTATTCATCTACCTAAAGGATCTGTTGTTACCTCCAGGGATAGCAGACATCTAGAAGCAGGCAGGAGAAAACCTCAAAGGTTAGATGCCAGGTTTCATTTTTAAAGAGCACTGACTACCTGGCTCCTAGTAATTGTGCAGCTCTGCTATTAATAATACACATTGTGTGACGTTGCCAAATCATATATATCTATCACTCAGCTGTAGATCCTCAAATTATCTCTGAATTTGTGCTGACACTGTCCTTCCTTCTGGAAGGTGGCTACTTTTGTTCACCATGGTTCCTGTGTATGTTGTAAGGTAGCTGCCGCTCCAAGCTCACTCCTGTGATAGACTATAACTTCAGTGCTATTTGGCTAATGAAACTTGAGATTGTAGTCCATCAGGGAAGTGAGGTTGGAGCAGTGACTACTTTACAACACACACAGGGACCATGGGGAACAAAAGTAGCCACCCTCCAGAAGGAAGGACAGTGTCAGTACCAATTCAGAGATGATTTGAGGATCTAAAGCAGAGTGATACACAAATGAGATACATTTTTGTTAATAGTTATAAAAAATATGATACATGTGATGTAGGTACATTTGATGCACCAGTACATTTGATTCGCAAGTATGTGAAAATCACACCCATGTCTATTGACAAATTAGTGAAAACTAATGCAAAATGTGCAAAAATTAAGCAACTAAGCACTGTGAATTACCATGAGTTTTGCAACATATGCTAATTTCACATTGTGAAGGTTTGCTTGTACATCCTGTTATCATTAATAACCTGCATT